AGTTAAATCAGCTGGTTTGCATTACTCACGGCTACACTCTGAATCGGCGCATAGCTTGTTGTCCGAGAGTTTTGGCATCTGCCTGCCAGCCTGAGTGTTCAGTGGCAGGAGGCCACACAGCACCAGGAGAAGGGTCCAGTTAGCACCGTGTCTCTCCATCTCTGTGTGTCTGATTCATAGTTTGTTTGAACAGGACTAAAGCTCAAGTGGGAGGGGCCAGTTGAGGCCAAGCCCCACCCATTTTCAGAAAGTAGACATATAATCAGGGACTGACTGGGAGTAAAAAACGGCCCTGCATGGATTTTCTCCCAAATAGGCCCACCACAACTACAAACAGTCACTACTATCTCACAATATTAAAGCAATCCTATCGCATTTATGGCAAATAACATCACAAAAACCATGGTGACCCTGTTGACAAAAACAATAGAGACCATCACAGAAATTCAAATGATTTCCACTACAAATACCATTACAAACATTACAAACCATCAACTTTTAACCATTAAAACCATTAAATAATGCTTTCCTGTAGTGTGTTTTGGGACATATTACATTAGGATTTAGTGGCTTTAACAAAAGCCATGAATAGAAGGTGACCAATTAGAGCCCAACAGGTGCCATTACAGTTTCCATTAAAACCAATACAATTTTCATTATAACCAGTAAAACCATTACAAATTATGTGATGGTTTCTATTTTTTTTTTCAACAGAGGATTGAAATAAATGTATTGTATGAACTAAAATACTTGAAATCTACATAGAGCTGAATGCAAAATGTATATGACAATGATAAACATAAACCTAGAATCTAGAAACCTGAAACAACAGAATTCTTAAATTTGAGTATTTATATGTCTCTCTCTCGCTCTCTCTCTCAGTGTGTGTCATGTTAATCAGACTAATCACCTTATAGGCTACTTCATTTACTCGGTTTTCTAACTCAATAGCTCTCAAATGTAACCCGTTGTAGAATCGCTGCTGTCTTTTAATGAATGAATGAAATATTCATGCTGGACATTGCGGAGTGATAAATAGCAGTGGACGCTCGGACCTGGGATTTTACTATAGTGCTATAGGCTACATGCTGTGTATAGTGAGAGAGGCGGGCAAAGGTAACCTGACGTATCTTCGCTTTTTTCCTTTTAGCTTCTCCCAAGCGCATTTATCTTCATGTCTTTTGCTTGCCATCACTAGCCCACTCTCCTACGCGTCAGTTTTGGTTTCTTATAAGCAAAAATAGATTGCATTAGCGACCCCTTTTGTCGGCCGTCATCGTCCCTTACTGTCACAACTGACACTTTTTCTTTGATGATGAACCAGACTTCTCCAGATGGCCAGTCCGGACCCTGCATATTGCTAATCCACATAATAACAGGAAAAATTGCAGTAACACTCCACTCAAATTAAGTGTGTTTACTTATATAGAACACAAGTAATTCTAATTACTAAGTAATTTTTTTTTCTCTTTACCATTTAAGGACAAAATCCGACTACTATTGCAAACATAATTATTCAGTATATGATTCACTGACTGTCTTTTTTGTATGTTATTCAAAATTCCTTTTTATTTTTGTAGGTTTTTCTTGTGTTACAGCTGTAAGCCAAGATTCAGAGCAGAGCCCATAGTTGTAACTAGCTTCATTCAGGGTCTGTAAGAGAAAAATATGAAGTCAAGAAAACAGGAAGTATTGCTGCAAGTTGCACAGACTCTCACTTGTGTAGATATTGCTAATCCTATCTGAATCCACAAACAGTTCATTATTACCACGGTAAGGGACATAGCCAGGCCACGGGTCCCATAGCAACTAGTTACAGAGGCTGAGGCCTTTGCCAGGGGTTGAACAACCCGTCCTTTCACAGCAGAAAAAAATCAACACTCACTTTGTTTCAGAGGATTCCTTATGGTCTCTCTGAGCCACTTCCATATTTGGATCACCTTGAAATATCACAAACAGTCCAACAAAACTAATTGTACATTGCAAATCCAATACCTTACTAAGTGAAATCGTGATCTCCAGTTATCTATCAGGAAGAAGCTGGTTGTCTGCGAATAGAAGCTGCTCCCTCCACAGTGGCCTAGGGTGGGTTACTTTACCCACAAAGTGGCAGCAATGAGCAGGTTACCTAACAGCCTCTGAATGGGTTCTTTTATGCCTGGTGAGAAATGTTTTGGCAGTCTGCATAACATCTGACACTGTGGAAATTACGAATACTTCACTTACCTACACAGCATTTCAGAGAATTATAAAATGATCTTTGAACACTCTGAAGCATGTTGTAGTTATAAAAACATTGAGATTAATTGAAAGTTTTATGAAAGTTTTAATACATAAGCACAATCCTTTGGTATGTAATTTCTTTAACATGTAGAAGAATTAATGAATCATATTTTCAATGCTTTATGTAAAGAATTATGATGGCACAAAAGAAAATAGAGAGAGGCAAAATGTTAAAATATAAAAAAAAAAATGATTTTTTATTTATTAAGATAAAAAACAAAAATAAGACAGTAAAGTTCACTGGAAAGTTTCTTATGAAACTGAATATAGATTTTTTTTTTAGCATTCCTTATACTTTAGTGTAGCTTAATTAATTATGTCAGGAAATTGATCAAATTCAGATTTGAACTACATACATTTTGATTGTGCTTTTTCGACATCTACAATAATGTCAATTAATATTAATCAAAAATAACTGTAAAAATAATAATTTGTGACAACTTTTCTATTGAAAGTAATTATAAAAGAATATGATCATTTATATTCCAAAGTTGGCAAGGTAGGCAAATTTGTTTATTTCTTCATTTTATATAAAAAAGTACAAATCAGCAGAAAGAAATGCATTATCTTTCTGTTTACAGAACTTGAACAGATATTATTCAATGACAAGTCTAAGTATGAAAACAACTTACTGATTTCAGAAAAAAAAGGATAAAAAGTAAATGGGGAAGACTAAAAGACAGAAGTAAAACTTATAAAATATGAAAAGTGAACCAAATGCATACAAAGGCATACAAACAATAAATGAACAAATAAATTAACCATAGTTTTTTTTTAATAAATAGCCTATTAAATATTTACAATTACAGCCAGAGGATACATTAGAACAAACAAATAAACATAATGACGGTTAAGTTATATAAAACAATTAAATGTTTACAAAAATTAATTTGACAGCTTTCCTATTTTTGGAACTTCATATTGTTTTTTTGGTTTGTTGAACTTCTGACTTCAAAATTCAAAACAATGGTTTAATTCCCCCTTGTTTACATTAATGAATAAATCGTAGTGGTATTTTTCCGGGTTTTTTTTTTATATAAATCGAAGTTTCATACTATATCAGTGACTGTATCTCACCTGAACGCCCGACGTCAGCGTCACCTACCCTTTTTGTGTGTTTGGGCTCCTCCCACTAAACTGATGACGCCACGAGAAGGTGTGGCTTAATTAGCTTTACAGCAGCGCTTCCAAGGCGACCAGTAGTACCTCCCTGTCACTGTCACCTTTCATGCTAAGTTTGGAGCAGGAACTTCCCAGGTAGGAAAAATAAAGCATTACTTGTTCTAAATAGTCAATAGGAACGTTAATACTACTGAGAGACGCTTTCTTACCGACTTTACAAGAAATTTGTGTTGAATATAAAACATTCATTTAAGTTCTTAAGTCTTTTAATAAGCCTTTATTTGCTGTGAAGTTGATACGAATAGTCTGGGCTGTTTTATTTACACTACATTAGACTAATGTAGTTGATTCAACAGTTTCAATGCCATTAAAATACCACATCATGTTAATAATAAACACTTTTATAATTTATATCATCCTGTGCCTGGGTTTCCTCCATTATGATCCACATACAGGAAAGTAGTTCCTGTTTTATTCCAAGAAAACACTTTACAGCTATGCTAAATAAAATAGTGGTGAAATATCAGCATCAAGGAGGTCACCTATGTCTTGTGCTCTTTAAAACCTGTTTAGCCAATTGTAAGGGGTGTAGTCACTGGGCCACTGAGGAGTCTTGAATGACTACTGGAATGTGAGAGAAACACTGAAACTTTGTTATGTTGGTCATGTCCACAAAAGAAGCTCCTAGACAACAATAGAAATGCCCAAAGGTAGAAATGGATAATGTGGTGTTTGGATACACGTACTGTATAGGGACGAAATCCAAGCTCTTTACAGTCCAGGAGGATTAGATATTATAAATGAAAACACCTGCCAGCTTTGTGTCATAATTTTCAGGGTGAGTTCCAACACAATTCACCTGTTTCAACACGATTCTTTCCATAGGGAGATTTTTAAGGAAGACTCAAGATAAAGCAAACAATAAATCAACTGATGATTCCACCCTTGGAGGAAGCGTCAGCCTCAGTACACCCTACATGTGACACACACACAAGGGTTGATCATCTTTTGAAGAATATACAAAACCAAGAGGTGTCAGGTTCTGTGTTTTCTTGAAAATCCAGTCTAGACTACAGCCTTGGACATTTAGAATTGGAAGGATGCAGATTAACAACTTTTGATTATCAGGACGGTTACTTGGAGTCCTGCTTAGCTGTGAACTTGAGGGACGGACCAATGTTTTCATCCAAGAAGGAGAACTTACCCTCTCCCATCCTGGAGGATTCTTTCTTCCCCTTCTCTTCGTCACACTCTTCCTCCGGTCACCGGATCATGGCTCCTACAATGGGAGCAGATGATCTTCTCGCCTCACCTCAGGATGACAGCAGTCCTACGCTGCTGGAAAAGGACCTGATCTTGGCTGCTGAGGTGGGCCAAGCTTTGCTGGAGAAAAACGAGGAGCTGGCTGCTCAGATAGAGCAGATGGAAAGGGAGATGGAGGTATGAATGAAAATGAGTGCTCAGAACTGATGGCGTCTCTATAAAGGCCTGTTAACACCACAAACATTAACTATAAAGTTTTACTAATCATTCCAGTTCTATGAGAATAGCGATAGTCCACACCCCAACTATAACAACACAGAGGAATGATATTGTTAGAATTACATTCAGAACAATTTTTTCAGCTGATAAAATAAAAACATTAACAGTCAATCGGAATCCACCCGACTTTAACAAGCTCAAGCATTTAAAACCGCAAACAACGTACAGCAACTGCAGTGCATGCTTATAATAAACAGAACATTATTGTCTGCTGGTGTGTACGCTAATATAGCCTAGTTATCTTGATTGTTCTTGGTGTGAACGGGCCTTAACTCTGTAAAGTAACATGTTTATGTTTATACATTATACCTTAGCAGTTGTTTACACCATTTTGATTC